CAGGAACGAATTTCTAATTTTTCCTAATATTTATATCTATCATTTGGAAATTGTGATGGACAAATTAAACTTATCAATTTACATTTACATTCCATAGTTACATGTAAATTGATGGAAAACTCATATGGAGAATAACGTATTAATTTTGTGCTTCTATACCGTGCCTGCGGCTACATATGATTTATCGGTTATTCGCCAACTGTCCCTGACTAAGTTTAACACTCAATTTACGTATATTTTTTGTAGCTAGATGTAAATTGGTGCTTATTATAGAAAAAATCATAATCAAGATAAAATACCTATATATTCATGGTTGAACTACGATATCCTTATTTAGTAGTACTTTTGAGCGTACGACGGATATAATGTTATATTGCATATGAATTTTTAGTCTCCTAATGTGAATGGGAGTTTTAAGGTTAATAATATATTTGCTATAGGCGTGCTTATTCTCTAACCTGTATGTTTGCTAACGAATGATCCGGAGCACCCTTGTTAATTATGCTTTTTATGATAGAAATATTATTTAAAAGTGGGTTGCTATTCCCATTGTCATTTGTGAGAAAACATGTTTTAACTTATGAGCAATTATATGTGCGATTAAATATTTGTTAATACCGGTCTTTCATGTAGGTTAGAGATTGTCATGACTAATATGTTAAAGGATAAATTTTTGAAAAAGATACAAATTTTGAAATTTGTTTGGACGTTACAATACAAACGTATATATATTGTCAGTATACATGCGTGCAATTAAAAAATTATATAAATACACACACACGCACACACTATTTTTTTTATATATACATGTGGATTTTATTTAATGATTTTTGTATATTTTTTAAATTCAAAATAAAATTCTTTGTGTAATATGTTACACATTTTTTTTTTAATTTATTTTTTTTCTTAAAATGTCAAATTATTCATATCAATGTATGATTTTAATCAATAATGATTTTATTAATAAGTATATCGTGAAGCTTAATAATTTATTTAAATGTTTACATTTTTGTATCGAGCACTAGTGTATCTTTATAATTATAAGGAATATTTATTAATTATTATAATTTAAAAATTTAATAAACATTCTATTCCTCTATTTTTTATACATATATTAGGAGACGCGGTAGTGTCTCCGGCCATGTTCAAACCCTAAAAGACCTTAAAAGACACTACAAGTCTCATATCCTGCACCATCAAAGTCCATTTTTTGGGGGTGTAGAACTACTAAAATATAAAAAATTTGGAATTGCACGTAATATAACCTGAAAGGCGGCATCGCCACAAGTAATTTGAGCCAAGAAGAAATAAAATCGGTCAAGCCGTTTTGGACAAGTGGTCAAAAAGTGATGTTTTTCATGAAAAATTAAGAAACGTCGTCTTCTTCTTCTCTGTCCGCGTCTGCTGACGTCATCAGGATTATATATATAAATCTCTTCTCACCTTTCACTCACACACCTCCCTCAACTTCCACCCACCCCTTTCCCTCCCACATCCCGTCCCCCCGCCCCCACCCCCACCCCCCTTTCGACCTAACTCACCCTCTTTCGTCCTATTTCAGTCTTTTCGTTTTCTCTCACCCTCTGTTGTCCTTTTTCACCCTCTTTCACCCTCTTTCGTCCTCTTTCACTCTCTTTCATTCTCTCTCACCCTCTTTCACCCTCTTTCATTCCCTCTTACCCCCTTTCGTCCTCTTTCACCCTCTTTCGTCCTCTTTCACCCTCTTTCATTCTCTCTCACCCTCTTTCGTCCTCTCTCACCCTATCTCCAAAAATCATAAAAATGAAAAGATCAAGCCATATTCAAAAGAAAGTCCTCAAAAATTTAAACCTAGTCTGTACAATGAAAAATAATTACTCGTAATTCCAGAATTCCAATTTGTTAATATCGAACAATGTATTTGTTTCAAGTAATGGCAGTAGAGTTAAATACATACCTACGTATATGCAGTTTTTGCTGTTAAATGTACTTGAACGAAAAAAATAATTAAATGATTTAAATATTGTACAGTATTAGAACGATAAAGGATCGATCATCGATATTTTGAAAATTAATTATATATATTTTATAAATTAAACTTCGGCTCGTATACAATTAAAATATGTGATATAATAAAAGGCCAACTTAACGAGCTTATAAGATATTAATTCCAAAATTTTTATTATTAATTTACGTCATAATATACAAAAGATAAGAAACGTTTCGACTGTACGACAGTCTTTTTCAATATCATGCTAATATGTCAAAAAATTAATTTAGTCATATCGACCTTATTATAAATACAACATTTATGAGATTATCATATGATGAACGCAGTACAAAATTCATGTTTGTTGGCTTGAGTTAGAGCGTCAGATTTCTGTATGTCATACTGTTATATTATGTGACGACACTGTGAACCAATTAATATATCCGCTCAAATATTACATTTTAGATTTTTAATAAATAGTATTAACTTACTTTTTTGTCACGAACATAACACTTCTTTAAAAAATTATTTCTTTTTGAATAACATAATCACAATGTGTACTTTTAAAAACAATTCGATATCTGTATCTCGCAATGTTGGCGCGCTGTATATATACCCAATTTTTAAGATGACGTAGACAATTTTTTTAGAATATCAAAATAGGAACCGTCAAGACGCTTATGAATTTTTTATTTCTGTCATTATTTATGATTTCGTTATTTATATCTTGAGTACTTTCTTTGTTTAATCTATTAACAATAAGGAACTTCAGTCTATTATTGATTTCTGAGAAAATGAGATCAAGAGGATAACTATTGCTCAATAAAATCTCTATGATTAATGTTAAATTTTTACTGTGAAAACGGGGATGTGATAATAATATTGACCGGTCTACTAAATTATATATTACACTTTTTTTGTGGCATATAGGATGATTTGAATGATATGAGAGTGTTCTACCCGAAAATGTTTTTTTCTGAAACCAATCTATATATATATATATGTTATTTATAATTTTGAGTGAGATATCTAAAAAACTTATGCTACGGTTATCCTCTCTTTCTATTGTGAATTATTTAATCTATCGTGACAATCATTAAATTTTTCTACTAAATATGTGACTTGATCTTCCGGCAAGCAAACCAAGATATCATCGACGTAGCGATAGTAAAACCTTATATTTACATTTATAGTTTCAAGAATCCTAGTTTCTACATCTTGCATGACAATATCCGCAATAATTGGAGATAAAGGCGATCCCATAGGAGTTCCATGTATTTGTTTATAGATCGTATCGTTAAATGTGAAGTACGTTGAAGTCAAAATGAATTTAATTACATTAACAAACTCATTTTTATCTATTGATGTGTGGTTTTCAATGTAATGCCATCTATTATTTATGCTGTCCATTGCAAGGTCCAAAGGAACATTTGTGAACAACGATATCACATCCAAAGATACGATTGTTTCATTATTATTTAATTTAAGATCAGACAATGCATTGCACAATTCAAAACTATTATTAACATGACTTTTCCCTTTGGGTAAACTTGTCACTAAAATGTTATGTAAATATGCAGCTAAATGATGTAGTGCTGTATTGACCGACGATACTATTACCCTGAATGGAATGTTTTCCTTGTGAATTTTGGGCAAGCCATATGCTTTAGGAAGCACTGAATCATTGGAACTTAAACAATAATAGTCTTTTTTTGTGATCCATTCATTTTTTAACCATTGTTTTAAATTTTTATTAAGGTCTTTTTCTATTTTTATTATTGGGTTGTTTTTGCTTGTCATATAATTATCTTTGTCATTTAATAATTTTTCAACTTTGTCTATATAAAATTCTTTGGTCATCGCTACGGTCGTGTTTCCCTTGTCTGCTCTTGTGAAAATGATGCTAGGATTTTGTTTACAAAATGTCATAGCTTTTTTTATACATAAAAGTAAGTTTGTTATTTATTATGTCTGTCCTAGTATTGTTATTTAAAAAAACAAAGAACTGTGGAATAGCTATGTTTCTTATTGTCGTGAGATTAGTTATGTTATTCGAATTGCTTTCTATGTCTTTAATAAATTCATGGACAGCTGTTTTTTTATCAGTATTAATAGGAAGACTAAAATCACTACCTAATTGCAATAAATTTGTGACATCAGTTGGAATACTACATCAGTCAAATTAATAAACCATTTATCATTGGTTTGTTCTAATGGATTAATAGTTCTGTTTATAAAATTTGTTGCGTTAATGTGGTTATTAATATATTTATTGTTTTGAGAGTTAACACTATTTTTCTCTGAACAAGAAAAAACTATGGGTTTAATATTATTATAATAATCCGATTCTTTTTTTTGTAATAACCAACAGAATTTTTTCTTATGTAAATAATGTAAGTTTAATATCGCTCGATATCGCAAGGTCGGCGGTGTTGTGTTCGCGCGACCGATCGATGTGTTGTTGCGAAGCCAGCTACTATTTAGTATTTTGAATTCTTGTCGCAAGGACGATCGAAAAAACATTCAAATTTAACGATCGATCGCACGAAATTTACATTAATAATCGAAAGACAAGATGAGCGGCGACCAATTTATAAGACAAAGAGGAGCAATCAAAGCAAAATTAACATCGATAAGAAATTTCGTAAATCGAATTACTGAAAAACCGGAGACTGTCACAAGGGAAGAACTCGAAGTGCGTGTTCAGAATCTTGAAGATGCGCACACTAAATTTCAAGGCATTTCACAGCAATTAATAGCGGTCGTTTCTGAAGAAGAATATGATCTGAGAGACGCAACGGAAGAAATAGAATTTGAAGAGAGATACGTCGCATTGAAAACATCATTGTTGCGCGTTCTAGAGAAAACGAGACTATTACAAGCCGCATCTAGCAGCGGAAATCAGGGTGACAACAACGTGCTAGCGCAAATCTTGGAGCAGCAAACGATTCTCATTCAGCGGCTGTTGGAGTGATTAAATGAGAATAGTGGCAGTGATATCATCGCAAGAATATTAGAACAACAAGGTCAGATGTTGGAGCGTATGAGTACACATTCGGGTGCGCCGCGAGAATCACAGGTGAAGCTGCCGACGATCAAGCTGCCGACGTTCAGTGGAAACATCGAGGATTGGAAAAGGTATGCTGACACATTTAAAACATTAATACATGATAGCAATTTATCCGGTGTGCAGAAGCATCAATATCTCGTGGAATCCTTGAGCGGTCCGGCAGCAAGGATAATCGAATCGATAGAAATTTCGGAGCAAAATTATATTATCGCTTGGGAGCTGTTAAGAAAGCGATACGAGGACGACAGAGCCATCCGTAAGCGACACATTCAATGTCTTTTCGAGCTGCCGCGGGTTCATCGGGAATCCGCCGGAGCAATTCGAGAACTCATAGATCACGTGCAGAAACATCTACGAGTTTTGCATTCCATGGAGCTGCCTACGGAATCGTGGGGAAAGCTGATTGTGTATCTGATCGAGAAGAATTTGGACAGCGCCACAAGAAAGCTTTGGGAGGAACACGCCGAGACATTGGAAACAATAACGACCAATGCTGCGGTGGATTTTTTGCAACGCCGATGTCAAGTATTGGAGCGAGCAGCTCTGAGCGAAAAATCGGCGGACGTTACCAGCAAATCAAATCTCAGTAATTATGAAAAGAACAACGGTAATAAAAAGCATTCTTTTCATTTGAAATCTCGTGGCCAAACACTAGTAACGACAACCGTTTAAGGACGATGTTATTTGTGTCACGGACTTCATCTTATTTACAATTGTAATCAATTTGAATCTTTCTGTTGAAAATAGAATCCAAGTAGTAAAGAGATTGAAGCTTTGCATTAATTGTCTTCGCAATGATCATTTTGTTGCGAAATGCAAGTCGGGTTCGTGTCGAGAATGCGGAGAGCGGCACAACACATTGTGCCACAAAAAGGAAACCGAAATGAGTTCCACTGGCAATGTAAAGGAGCAATCACACGGCGCAGGAATGCCGGCGACTTCCGAGCGGCAGGCAACAGTCACCTCAGGAAGAGCGGCAACCGGTCCGTCGGTGCATCATGCACGAGGAAGCGCGGAGCGTAAGCGTGTACTGATGTCAACGGCAATTGTAAACGCGAAGGGAGGTAATAATTACGATTGTCAATTGCGAGTCTTATTGAATAGCGCGAGCGAAACTAATTTTATAACCTTAGCAGCGAGTAGAAAACTAGGTTTGAAATTGGACAATGTCTGCGAGTCGATCAATGGCTTAAGCAATATGAATTGCATGATAAAACACGGTTGTCAAGTGCAATTAAAATCGCGAACATCAGATTTCAATTTAAATTAGTATTGTTTAGTTGTTCCAACAATAACAAAGAAATTACCATCCTTCTCAATTGTCGATTCCGGAAAATCTCAAATTAGCGAATCCATTATTTCACAGTCCGAGCAATATCGACGATACAGCAATCGCAATATGCGCTTATAGGCGGAGAATTTTTCTTTCAATTGTTGGAGAATGCAAAAATTGAATTTCGCGGTGATCTGCCGATATTACAAAACAGCAAATTCGGCTGGATATTGGCAGGCTCGATACCGGAAGATTTAGTTGCTATTCAATCGATCGACAGTTTGTCGTCAAGTGTTTACACATGCTTGTCAATACAACAAGAATCGATAGTGTTACGTCCAAGGGGCGTTGGGCGCTGAAACTACCCACGTAACCCCCAAAGACCGCGGGTGCTGGGAAATTTTAACAAAGATCTAGACCCGAAATTCCCGAATTATAACGAAGGTCGGTTCTGGATCGTTATAAGGGGTTTCTTCGTGACGGCCAAGGTAAGAGAGGAAGTTACTCAAGGCTCCGGGGCAGGCTCCACAGGTAGAGTCACGCACAGCGACAGTTCCTACTAAAACTCGGGTACAGGAGGTGCACTCCTCGAAACGCGAATCGTCTCCTATGGTGATATAGTGGCGTACTAGGCGCTCGTATAAATTCCGTTGCGGAGATTCCAGGTCGGTGAAACAACGATCGCAGATGATTGTGCGCGTAGTGAGGTGTCTACGGAATATAGCTATGGTGCAACGAGCGGACGCTACCCACTCGGCATAGGACAAAGATGGGGATCCAAGACGTAGTGTAACGTCCGTACAAATTTTAAAATTTCAATCTTTTTCAAAAATTTATCCTTTAACATATCAGTCATGACAATCTCTAACCTACATGAAAGACCGGTATTAACGAATATTTAATCTCACATATAATTATTTATAAGTTAAAACATGTCTTCTCACAAATGACAACAGGAGTAGCAACCCACTTTTAAATAATATTTTTATCATAAAAAGCATAATTAACAAGGGTGCTTTGCTCCGGATCATTCGTTAGGAAACATAAAAGTTAGAGAATAAGCGCGCCTAAATCAGACAACGAATGTATGTTCTGTGGCGATAAATGCCACAAGAATATTAAAATATATAAAAAATAAAAAATGTACACGAAATAAAAATATATGACAAGCGACGAGTGTTAAGGATATCGCGACCGGTGACACAAAATAATAAATAAATAAATAAGCGTCTAGCATGACGAAGGTAGATTATGATTTCTGAATAGAATAAAAAGCGAAAGTCTTCAAAATAATAGATAGACTAATCACCTAAAAATAAAAATAAGGTCGTGGAAAAATCGAGAGAAGCAAGACGATACGCGGCCTCGAAGGGCAGATAGATTTTGACTCGCGCTCGCGATACACGGTTTTCCTCGGTGGAGAGTAAAAGTCTGTATTTAATAATCCGAATAAACGCAGTAAAAGACAATATAATTATAACACCTATTAACTATTCCGTCTTAACGATCCTCTCCCGATTCGCGATATTGATAGAGCAATAATTAACGAACTAAGCTACACACGCTCGCCCAAAGTGGTGACCCCGACGTGATCAAGGTGACGCGAAGTGCTGTGGACATTGCCGCGAGTCGTGATACGGATCTTGGACAGTGCATTTTTGAAAAAAGTGACGATATGGTGTTGACGCGTGACGATGGAGCTGCCCCTCCGTTAATACAAATCGAGCAGCCGAGACGAGATGCACTGCCTGTGCCAGGGACGTCGCAACAAAGAGCAGAACGACCTTGCCTGTTCATGGCGGGCGCCGAGGTAAATCGCGTAGGCATGAGAATGCCAGAATTTACTTCCGGAGATCCGGAATTATGGTTCAACATCATAGATCGGAGCTTCCAGGCCGCTGGAATTAGTACGGACGCGACCAAGTTCGGTTACGTATTGACGGCGATCGGTCCACGACACGCGATGGAAGTACGCGATATTATAATGAACCCGCCAGCGGAACGCGCGTACGAAACTTTAAGATGCGAGCTGATAAAGAGATTGAGCTTGTCGCAGGAGCACAAGACGCGTCGGCTCCTGGAGCATGAGGAGATAGGCGACCGCAAACCGTCACAGTTTTTGCGGCATCTTCGAGGTCTCGCCGGTAATGTTGTCGGGGATGAAGTCCTGCGAACCATTTGGTTAAGTCGACTGCCCGTTTATTTGCAGCCGCATCTCGTAACGCGCGTAGGAGATACGCTGGAAACTCTCGCGGATATGGCGGACGCGATCGTGGAGGCAACGAGAGCGCCCGCGGTGCACGTCGCGGAAGCGGCTCGGCCGACGGCATTCGCGGGTGCCGAAGTAAACGGCATAGCTGCGTTGGAAGCGAGAATCAACGTCCAGATGACGTAAATGCGTATGGCCATGCAGCAGGAGTTCGCTGAGCAAATGACCGGCTTGCGAAAATGCATCGAGGCACTAGGAGAGCGAGAATCTCGCCGGAGCGACGGCGGTGGTCGTCGCAGGCGGGAGCGTTCGCGATCGCGCTCTCGTGTCCGTGGTCACGCGTCGAACAATTTATGCTACTACCACTGGAGATTCGGACCGGACGCGCGAAGATGTGAACCCCCGTGTGCCGGACAGCCGCAGGGAAACGCGATGGCCCGACACTGATGACGGCCGGTGATCAAGGCCAGGATTCGCGCCGTCTATTCGTTGCTGACCGCGACACGCGAATTGACTTCCTCGTGGATACGGGCGCAGACCTGTGCGTATTTCCTCGCAGGATGGTGCGTGGGCCGCGGCAACAATTGACATACGAATTATCCGCAGCGAATGGAACGGTGATCCATACGTACGGAACCGAGACTTTAACTTTAAATCTCGGACTACGGAGAAATTTCACGTGGCGATTCGTACTCGCAGATGTGTTGAGACCGATTATCGGCGCGGACTTTCTATCGTATTACGGACTCCTGGTGGACTTGCGGAATCGTCGGCTAGTCGATCAGGCGACGGGACTCGTAGCCGGGGGACGTAGCGCGCAGTGCGGAATACCGAGTGTCCGAACAGTGACGGGAGTGACGCCGTATCACAGACTTTTGACGCGTTATCCGGACATCGTACGACCTGACGGGCGCCCGAAAGAGGTGCGACATAACACGAAACATTTTATTGAAACGACCCCGGGGCCGCCGGTAGTGTGCAGACCGCGGAGACTTGCGCCGGATAAATTGACCGCGGCGCGAAAAGAGTTTGAAAAAATGATGGAGCTCGGAATCGTGAGACCGTCGAAGAGTAGTTGGGCGTCTCCGCTACATATGGTGCCGAAGAGAGGTGAAGAGTGGCGACCGTGCGGTGACTATCGCTCTTTAAATGCACGGACGATCCCGGATCGGTACCCGGTTCGGCATATTCAGGATTTCGCGATGGAATTAAAAGACAAACAAGTGTTCTCGACGATCGACTTAGTGCGCGCGTACCACCAGATACCGGTGGCGGAAAGTGATATTCCGAAGACCGCGATCACTACGCCGTTCGGCATGTTCGAGTTCCCGTTTATGTCGTTCGGATTGAGAAACGCTGCGCAGACTTTCCAGCGGTTCATCGACGAGGTCTTGCGCGGACTCGACTTTTGTTACGCGTACATTGACGACATTTTGATCGCGTCAACGACGGCCGAAGAGCATAGCGAACACCTTAAAATATTGTTCGAGCGTTTACAAACCTATGGCGTCGTGATTAATCCGGGAAAGTGCGTGTTCGGACAAGCGGAAGTCGAATTCCTCGGTTATGAAGTGAGCGGACACGGCACGCGACCATTGCCGGCGCGCGTACGGGCGATCGAGGAGTTCGAGGAGCCGAAGACGGCGAAAGAACTGAGGCGATATCTGGGCATGATTAATTTCTACCGGAGATGTCTGCCAAAAGCCGCGGAAATTCAGGCGCCGTTAAACGAACTACTGCATGGCAATATCAAGGGAAAGACGCTCATCAAGTGGACGACGGCAGCGAGACAGGCGTTCAAGGACGCGAAAAGTAGCTTGATGCAAGCTACCCTGATAGCGCACCCGAAGGTGAACACGGAGCTCGCCCTATTCACGGACGCATCGGACAGCAGCGTGGGAGCCGTACTACAACAGCGAGCGGAAGAAGAATGGGAACCACTGGGCTTCTTCTCAAAAAAATTAAGCCCGACGGAAGCGAAATACAGCGCATTCGATCGGGAGCTTTTGGCGATCTATTTAGCCATCAAATATTTCCGCCACATGGTCGAGGCACGGACCTTCACAATTTACACGGACCACAAACCTCTCACGTATGCATTTCAGAGAAAACCGGAAAAATGCACGCCGCGACAATTTCGGCATCTTGATTTTGTCGGGCAATTTACGACGGACGTACGACACGTGAGAG